TTGCATGTAAAGCAAATATTTGCATCACAAGGATTTGGCATAACATCCTCTGATCAGCTGATTACCATAGTGATGAGAATCTTCAAAGGGAAAAACTTTCTTCTTCGGGGGTTGAGCTCAGAGTTATAGGTTATAAGCTGCAATATTGACTGTCTCTGAGGGCATGTTCTGCTCGGCAGTAGAAATATGGGACACTCCACTGTTGATTATAATGAAGTGAAGAAAAGGCAAAAGATTACTTTTGGAAGAGAGAAAAAAAGAAGCAGCCTCTTTTTGACAGAGCTCATTATCTTCTCTGAAGGTGTTTGGGGCTTTAAAAAGAAGCAGCAGCAGCAGCAAGAGAGGAGAACAGAGGAGAAGAGCTGGAGATGGAATATCCAGAGAGGCTTGAGATTTGTGATGTGATGAACTTTATACTATAGTGATCCATTTCTTAATTACTCCTCGAGGACAGTCATTTCCCCTCTATTCCCTAGCTATAAAGCATCCTCCATATGGCACCTTTGGCAAAGGGCATTATTCTGCTCCTCAACAGGCAGGCTTCAGGGTGAGCCTAGCTATCTGAAATGTGCTGACACCTCACTTCTCGGAACAGTTAGAAGGGTAGGGGTAATGGGAGGAGTGGGGTAGAGTGATTAGTGGATGCTAAATAAATGTTCCTTTTTCCTTTTATTACAACAGATGCTCTTTTTTATGCTCTTAATAATATACTGTAAGGTAATATTAGTCATCGGACACTCTCTGGGGGGGAACTAAGGAATAAGAGGGTGCTGTTTGAGTTAAACGATGGACAAGGAAAAGGGGTTTTGGATGCCCTTCCGCAGTCCGTTTTTGTGGTGTGGGGTCGATGCCAAACATCTCTCTCTCTCTCTCTCTCTCTCTCTCTCTCTCTGTTTCTGATACTGCTACTCAGCACTGCAGCACTGTAGAAACACGATGGATCGCTTGCTTAATGTGTGTGTGTGTGTGTGTGTGTGTGTGTGTGTGTGTGTGTGTGTGT